CTCCCCACCATGCAGCGTCACGGAAGGCCCCGCGAGTCCGACGTCATGCGCCAGCCTTTGGCACGGCGCCTGGACAGAACATGCACTTACACAGTAAGCGATGCACACGACCTGCACTGTGGCGGGCCTACGATGCGCTGAGCCAGAGTAAGAGTCGCACAGAAGGCCCGAAGCGGCCCGAATATTGGAGGCTTGGAAGTGGGCACCAACACCAACACAGCGGAATGCCTCCACTGGTGGAAGATGATCCCAGATTTTGGTGTCGGTGGTAACAGTTCGGCCACCTGGGAAGCCCGAGTCTTACCACCATGACCGAGATCGGGATCGTGGTGCCGACCTCTGGGCCTCCGAAGATATTACCCCAAGATGGTGCAAGGACAATCAACGCGTGCCAAAAGAGCACAGCCCCGGGACGCCTCCAAGGCGGCCCAGGGCCAAACAGGGCGGCAACGTGACCGCCCAAAATGTCGAAAAGCTCCAAGACGTTTCTAAGGGAACAAGACGCCCCAGGAAACTCCCTAGCTACACACGCCCACAGAGACCCCTAGCGAGGCCCGAAGATGGCAACAACTTGTCACGAAAACGCCAAGGATACAGCTAGCAAGTACATCAGGAGCTTATCATATTGTTGTGTCCGAGAACTGCCGCCTTATATCGCTCTGGGAAAGCTTCAGAGAGATCCTAGAAGTCCCCTAGACGGCCCAAGACTTCACCAAGAGGGCCCAAGGCGGTCCCAAAGCTGCTCGAGAACTTCCATGGAGGCGCAAGACCGCCCCAAGAGGGCTCCCAAAAACCCGCCCAGAAGTTACCAAGACGGTACAAAAAGGAAAATGCCCGGGCGAATATGGTAGAGCCATCGCGTCCGAGACGGCCCCGAGACGCAATTGAGCCGTTGATGAAGGGCTTTCGGCCCAGGTCGGAGGCACTGGAAAGTGCTTCCATCAGTGGACGTGCAGAGTTCGACCTCGAGACCCCCGAAGCCAGCTGCATCAATATGGGTGCCACTTCTGCGCATGACGGCAACTCTGCTCAAGTGATGTGCGCGCGTGTGGCGAACGCAGCAACATCAGTACCCATCCATTGTAATAAACATTTGAATATCTAGCAGATCGTCGGCGCACGCACGGTAAAGCTCACCAGGAAATACCGCCAACCATCATTCCACACACACACACACACACACACACACACGTTCACACACACACGTTCACACACAGCGTTTTCCGCCGCAGCGCGGCAGAGGCAATCCGCACGCGCGCTCTAGTAGCCCTGGGCATGGCGTGCTAATGGGCTGGCGGCACGCGGGAGGGAAGGAGGAGGAAGGCGGCCGCGGACAGCGGGCAGGGGAGGAGACACTCACCGAAGCTCTTCGGCAACAGTGGCTGGGGCGGCCGGCCGCTGCCGAGGCAACCTCGCACTGGACGCGGAGCGGCATCGCGCCCACTCCCAAGAGCTGCGGCAACGGCTGCAGGCGCTGAAAGCGCGGAGGCCGCGGCCCCGGCGACAGGCACTGCCGCCATACAGCGCCAGCGGAGCGCGGAAGGCCAGCGACCACGGGACCTGGGCCGGCGACCGGCTCGCTGCAGCCAAATGCTGTCATACTGCGCTGTACAGCCCCGCTGAGCTGCTGAGCGCAGAGCTGCTGAGAGCAGAGCTGCAGAAGCTGCAGGGCTGCCAGCTGCAAAGCCGCCGAGGGCTGCCAGGCAGGGCAGCGATACAGCCGGGGGGTGCTGACCAAAGCTCCCAAAGCGGCGCAGCGCGGCGAGGAGCCACCAGCCGTCGCATGGGACGCCCCTGCGGCGGCAGGGCGGCGAGAGGCGGGAAAGGGAGGGCCGAACCCGACCGGCGCACCTATCACAGTCCGGCGCGGCGCCGACGCCTGCAGGCTGCCGGGGCGGGGGCGCCCAGCTGCAAGAGCAGCGGGGCACGGGCGGGGGCCTGGCTGGCGCACGCAGCGCGGCGGGGAGAGCCAGGGACGCCCAGCAGCCGCAGGGCCGGCCAGGCACCGGCGCCCAGCTGCAGGAACAGCGGGGCAGGCGGCCCGGCGGAGCCGGGCAAATGCCCCCCCTGCAGCGCGCAGCAGCCCGGGGCCGCCCGAGGCGGCTCTGGCGAGACGCGCGGCTCACGGGAGGCAGCGGCGAGGGGCGCCACCAGAATCGGCACGGGGGCCACACCCAGGACACTCCCGGCCCCTCCCAGCCAGCAAAGGAGAACGCCTCGCCAACAGTCCAAACCATGTGGCATTGATCACCGCGCCTGAACGGTGCACATACTTCGGCGGCAGCAACCACCCGGGGGGGGGGCGCTCCAGTCGAGACGCGCGAGCGCCAGCGGCAGCGCCCACCTGCGGGAGCGGGCGCTCAAGCCAGGAACGAGGTGGAGAACCCACCTGTGGGGGTGGACGCTCCCGCGGGACAGGAGAGAGGGCGTGCCACATGGGGGCCTAGCACGCAGGAGGAGGCGCCTGATCGGTGCACGAACGATTGGAGGGGCAGGGGGCCTACCTGGGGGGGCAAGCCCGCCTGCGAGTCGTTGCGGGCGCCCAATGGGCACTGCCAGGTTCGGCCCGGAGGCCGAGCGAGTGCCCACCTTGGGAGGCACGTGCCTGGGGAATTGGGGGCTAGGTGAATCGCCTCTTGGGACGCGGCCGGAATCCACCTCGGTCGCAGGCTGGGTGGTAGGGCACCCCTAGCCGCGGGGAGGCACTGGGCACACCTGCGCAATCTGGGCCGCGCAAACAGGCTGCGGGTTGAGCTCTAAGGGCTAGAGCCCCCGCCGACGGGACTGGTTCCCGGCTGGCCAGAAGGCGCCGCTGGCACGCTTGCCTCCCCGGCCTTTCCCCCCACCTACATGCGTCTGCCGCTCCTGCTGCTGGCGCCGTGCGTCGCCCCATTCTACGTCTATACACTGGTGCCGGCAATAGGCCCGCATGTCGAAATAGGAATCTCACAGGTCGCCCAGGAACTGCCAGCAGAACGCGTCGAAGCCGCCAGGGTTGCGGCGCCCCTCGACTCTTGCCTTGCCGCCCCGCTTCCAGCCTTCGACAAACAGCGCCCCGCAGGTACCCTTGAGGCGGTTGGTGAGATCCGGCCAGATCCCCAGGCGCCCCTCTCTCGGGTTCCACTGCGGCCTCCAGCGGACCTCGCACCGACGCGCGGTAGAGGGCAGAGGCCGTCGCGTGGGTCGTTCTAGCCGCGCTGGTGGCGGACGGGGCCGTTCCCCCAGCCGCGGGCACTCGCGGCCGGGGTGCTGCGCCAGCATAGGGCGAGCATCTCCGGGTGCTGTCGGAGGGCTGTCCCGGCTGAACCGGTCAGCAGCACGGTGGCGAGCAGCGCGCGAGGTCGAGGCGTCGTGGGGCCCCTGGCCCGCGCAGTTTTCCTGGCCAGTCTGGCCAGTCTGGGTGTCACCTCCCGCTGGGGCGTTGTCGCCGACTGCGCCGTGGGCAAAGCGGCCGCCGTGAATGATCCAGGAGGGCGCGCGCTGTCCGCTCCGTCCCAGACCGTGACCCAGCGGCCCCCTTTTCTGGCGCAGAGCTGCCCTACGAGGACCTCGCCCACAGGCACTACCACCGAGCTGGGCGGGACATCGGGCCAGCCGCTCCCCAGTCTCGTCAGCCTGTGCGTGCCAGCACGCGGGGCGAGCGCCACTGTCGCCCCTGGCCAGTAGGTAGTGGCCTGCCCGCGAGTCGGGCGCGATGCCACTGTGCTGCTGCGAGACGTTTGGTCTGGTGGCGGGGACGAGCCCGAGGCGTGCTCGTCAGCCGCCCCGGCGCCCCCCCGATGGACCAGGTTGTCGCCTGCGCCCGCGACGCTCCCGCCACCCTGGACACGAGGACTGGGCGGGCGCGGCTGTCCCCCCCCCCCCGCCGCTACCCTCGCCGTCGCTCCAGTCGGGGGCAGGGCTGCGCTGCTCGATGCCCGCCTGCCCGACCAAGGGGCGACCTCGCCCGCAGTGCCTCCAGGGCGGAGCCCTCGGTGTCCCACCCGCCGAGGTTTCTAGGTGGACGGACCTGACGCGCTGCGCCAGCTTCGCTGGGGGCCCTGCGCCCTCTGGGCGCGGGAAGATGTGGTCCCTGGTGGCGTCACCCGTCGCTTGCTCTCGCAGCCCGCCCGCGGCCGCTGTCTTGGGAGCGCCCAGCCCGGGGTCGGACGGCGGTATTCAGCAATCAAGGGGGCGCCCAAGGCGCGCGAATGCCCCAGCTCGCCAGGAAGGGTGCCAGGACATGCCCGTCGTGCCTGGGCGGGTCGGTGCCACGCAGGGCCGTGCGGGACCCCAGCAGGTACTCCCACGCCAGCCTCAGACTGTCGTCCCCGACGCCCTCGTGCTGCTTCCTGCCCATCGTCTGCGCAAGCCAGGCGACGACATGAGCCAGGGAGGCCCGCCTCACGCCCAAGGGGGGGGGCGTCGGGCACCCCGGTGCCCAGGATGGCGCTGCCGTATACGGTGAGGGCGTTGAATGAGGAACCCCTGGGTAAAGAATCCAGGGTCTGGAAGCTGGGGTAGCTCCAGTCGTGGACTGGCCATGGACATCACCGCCGCCCACGTCCGATCAGGAATGGTCCAGGGTCCGAAGGCTCACGGGCGCATTCCTGGACCAACGCCCCCACCGTACCTTCTGCAGGAAGGCAGCGCAGGTGCCGCGGTCCCAACACTGGGCGCCGGCTCTCTTTACCTCCATACCCAGGGCCCCTGCGCTGCTCTGCTCCTGGGCGGAATCCTGACACGCCTCCTCGATGCCTGGGTGCAGCCGCCTGCCGTGGTTCACCCTCACGCGGGCAATTGTCTTGTCTTGGCGGCCAGGTTTGCTGGCTGGGTCGATCTGGCCCGCTGGGGCCAAGGAATCCAGGGAGCGGCTTGCCAGGGCAGGGCATCCAGACGGTGTGGGGGGGGGCCAGGTCGGACAAGGCCAATACGCTGAGCCCACACGCAATGTATTGATAAGGGCATGTCATGCACGGTACGTGTTGCGTCTCAAGACGGGCGTATCGAAGCAGCTAAGCTCAAGCTGGATCCCCGCATTCACGTTCTGCTGGTTCTTCGCCTTGGCCGTATTTAGCGGGGTCTGCGAGTTGGCCCCGAAGTGGCCGATGGAGTGGGCGAGAACTACCACCATGAGAAAGATGTCCATCTGAAACTTGGCTTCGCCACCACTGCCACATGCGAAGACGATGGCATGGTCCAGTACGCAGAAAACAAGGCAGGGCCCTACCGTCAGCGCCCTGCTGTCTGCAAGCCCCTAGAGGAGATCTTCTGAGATCCGCCGCCACGCTTTTCCGCGGCTGGTGTGTACCAGGCCCCTATAGTCCGATATCCTATAAGTATGGAGCGCTTGCGACTAGTCTGGTAGTGTGATGCCTCCGCCTCCTTCCCTTCTTCCTTCTTGCCTTTCCGCCCTCGTCTCTTCCCAACATGCTCAGATCTACTGTGCATGCTCCATCTCCCAAAGATGGGGCTCTTGCCACAGGTGGGACTCCATCCGCCTCACCCTCATCATCTCGTCTCCTCCGCCCCATGATTGACTCCTACTCAGACTCACTCCGACTCAGACTCACTCACACTCAGACAACTTATACTCAAACTCGTTCATGTTCAGACTTCACTTCAGACTTTCACGCTCAGACTCGCTCACAGTCAGATCAACTAGCAGTGGGACTCCATCACACCTGGACTCACTCTCATGCTCAGGGTCAATCATGCTCAGAATCACTCCTGATCACGTTCACTCAGACTCAGACGGACTCATAATCTGACTCACTCTCAGACTCACTCACCCACAGATACACTCATGCACTCACCATTACTCTACTCTGGCTCACTCGCTCGCTCCATACTCAAACTCAGAGTGGTAGGCGTGTCTCTCTTCAGAGCCCCATGTCCGTCGCGAAACCACATGCACGGCATTCTTTCCTCCTGAAGCCGAGCCGCCATGGAGTAGCACACGGGCACGTACCCGCACGGTTTGGGCATCTCTCATGCCGAATGGCAGCCAAGTTTGGGGTGTGCATGTCTCTTGACACAACCCCCCAGAAGTCGTGATGTCGCAGGCATGGTACTTGAGCCTCCCAGAGGGGAGCCGCCAGAGGGGTACTGCACGGCCTGTTCGCACCCAGTTTGCCGGGACCTCTCTCTCCAGAAAAGTGGCCGCTTCTGGGCGGAGGGGAGAAAGACGCGTGGCTCTTCATAGCCCCATGCTCGTCGCGACGCAGCAGGCACGACTCTTGGGCCTCTAAGGGGGAAGCCGCCAGCGTGCTTTGCACGGGCCAATTCGCACCAGAACGTCGGCATCGCTGGAGCAGAATGGCAGGTGTGTGTGTGTGTGTGTCTTGTGTGTGATGTGTGTGTGTGCGTGTGTGCGTGCGTGCGTGTGTGTGTGTGTGTGCGTGTGTGTGGTGTGTGTTGTGTGTGTTGTGTGTGCGCTGTGTGTGCTGTGTTTTGTGTGGCATGTGTTGTGTGCAGTGTGGTGTGCGGTGTTTGGAGTGTGGTGTGCGTGTGTGTGCTTGTGTGTTGTGTGTTGTGTGTCGTGTGTTGTGTTGTGTGCTGTGCGTTGCGTGTTGCTTGTTGTGTGATGCGTGCCCGACCCATTTACACTCTGGCGAACTCATACTCAGACCAGTCACACATGCTGAGACTCAGTCGCACTCAGATGAACTCGCATCCAGGCGCTCATACGCAGACGCACTCGCGCCCATGCAAATCCATAACCATACAATGCCCACTGGTGATCAGATTTATTCATACTGAGGCAATCGAATATCACTCACACATAGACTGATCCACTCGCACTCAGACTTACGTACAGACTCCTTCATAATGAAACAAATTCATTATTAGACTCGGCAGTACCCCGAGACACGCATACCTAGACACGCATACTCAGACAAAGTCTCAGCCATATTTCATCAACCATGACTGAATCATGTTCAGCCATTCGTATTCAAACTTGCTCACACTCAAGCCCGGTTATACAAAAACAGACGCTCATAAAAGAACACGCTAGACTACACATGCAAATGGGGATACTCTATAATGGAAAATCTATCTTGCGAAATATGCTCACCGGTTTCAATCTCCAGGTCGACCAAGTTAGAGCGTTGCCCATAGCCAGATATGTTCACTGTATGTGCCTAGCCACCCGGCTGGGCGTCAAGTTGCCTCTGGTAGGCACGCCTGGACGGCCACCAGGGTTCCTCAGACAGCGCCCCAGAGGCTCAAGAGGCCCTCCCGAGGGCCACCTAGGCGGCCTCGAAAAACGACCAGAGACTATCATCCGAAGGAAGGCCCCTGGACAGGCCCAGCACGGAGGAGCAGAAGAGAGGCCTCCGAGGCCCCCCAAGAAATCCTCCGAGAGGCCCACGAGTCCGCTGAGATGCCCCGAAGAGGCCCCGAAAAGACAACGCAACAACCATGCAGCAATACAGCCGTGCCATGTGAGCGTTCTTTTTATTCGGCGTTTCGACATTGGGCGGCAAGAGGGGGGGGGAGGGGGGGGTCTGGCTCCAGACCTCTGCTTAGTGCGACTGTTTGCAAGAGTGCTGCCTCTGGGGGAGACTCCACCCGCTCGAAACAGGCGCACCCAAAAACAGCCAAGATCTACTCCATGGGGCGGGAAGGGGGGGGGGGGCCCGCGCCATACGGCAACTTGGCTTTTTTACCTGTCACTCGCGGCGGCCTGGTGCCGCTGTGGAGTGGGCATGGCCTACAGATCTCCCTGGTGTCAGGGCTGAGGCGGTGGGTGCGCATGATATAACACCCATGTCGGCGGCAAGAGGAGTACTGCTGAATGCCGGGCAGTTCGGCGTTCAGGAGGAGGCTCTCGAGAGAAGAAATCTCGGGCCCACTTCGGAGCACCGAACCAACGTGCGGCCTGCAGCGCCCTACTCCGACCCACCGCTCGCCCCTGCGCCCAGGGCCCTCGCCGCGTACGCCCGCTTCACACACTCCAAGCTTCATGATCTGATCCGCTGTCGTCGTCCAGCCATGCTTCTTGCACGCTGCGCTCAGATAGATGTGCGTGTTGTCGCAGGGGGGCAGCTTCGCCTGAAGCATGTCCTTGTACAGCTCCACGGCGTACTCGATGCGCTGGAGCTTGATGCACGCATTGATCACGTGGTGGTAAGCGAAACGATCGGGTTCCAGGTGCTGCTCGCGCATCGTATCGAAGATAGCAACAGCCTCCTTCGGGCGATTGCTGGAGTAGTATACCTTTATCATGATTCCGAAGGTTTTACCATTGGGTACCAGCCCCGTGGAGGTCATCTGCATGAACAGCTCCTGGGCCTGGTCTAACATGCCATTCTGAGAGCAAGCACACAGCACCGCATTGTATGCCACCCGATCGAGCTTGATCCCCAACTCCTTCATCTCATCATGGAGCTTCAGCGTGAACTCCGGATTGGTCCGCTCATTGGCGGCCATGATGCAGCGGTACGCCGTTGAGCTGAGCATGACACCCGCGTCCTTCATCTTCACGAAGTAGGCCAGGACGTCGTCTGGAGGCTTGCTCCTCCACGCAACGATCAGGCGGTTCTGGGCAAGAGTAGATGGTGAGACTCTGTGAGCTCGGATCACCTCGAGGAACTTCAGCCCCTCATCCCGCATGCGCTTGTCGTCGAGGCTTTCGGCGACTAGCTTGAAGAACTTGCTGGCGGTGCTTCTGCAAAGCAAGTGCACGTCGGGGACGGCCCCGCTCTGCAGCATCTGGTCGAACAGCTTCAGGGCCGTCTCCGCGCTGTTGCACCTGACGCAGGCACGCATCGCCGTCGTGACGTCGGAGGCCTTGGGCGCCACGCCCTCCTTCTGCACGCGGTCGAGGACGCGCATGTCGAACTTCCGCTGCGCCTCCTCGTCGTCGGCAGAGCCGTCTTTGCCAGTGCCTGGGACATCTCCGGCCTTGGTCGGGCGCCCGACGTCGGGTGCCCCGCTCTCGAGCTGGATCCCCGCCTTCACGTTCTTCTGGCTCTTCGCCTTGGCGTTCGGGCGCACGGTCTGCGAGTTTGCCCCGAAGTGGCCCATGGAGTAGGCGAGAACCACCACCATGAGGAGGATGTCCATCTGAAGCTTGGCCTCGCCACCGCTGCCAGACGCGTAGACGAAGACCCCGGCCAGCGCGCAGAAAGCAAGGCAGAGCTCTCCCGTCAGCAGCCTGTTGTCTGCGGGCCCCGTGGGGGAGATCTTCTGAGATCCGCCGCCGCGCTTTTCCGCGGCCTGGCATGTGCTGGGCCCATCGTTTCTTTTTGAGCTTTGCTCCGAGACCCATTAACCTACAACATCTGTTCAATGAATGTGCCACCCTGCGGTGCGCCAAGTTACCTCTGGTAGGCACGCCCAGACGGTCGCCAGGGAGCCCCAGAGGTTCAACAAGAGGCCCCCCCGAAGATTCCAAGCGTCCCCAGAACGCCCTATGACTCTTCCGAGGTGGCCCCCAGGCGGCCCAGGACCGGACAAAATGGTTCCCAAGACTAGCCCAAGACGGCCCCAAGACTAGCCCAACAACCATGCAGCGATACAGCAACGCCACGCAGCAACACTGCTGCGCTGCTTCCCCCAGCGCGGTGGAGGACATGCGCGGCAGCGCAACTGGATAGCCACTGCGCCATCGCGAGGAAGCCTTTTCTCTGACTGTTTGTGGAAGAGTTTGGGGGGTTACGACAGGCACCCGGTGCCTACTCACGGGAAAGGTATCCCTGAACGCGGTGATGCGCGCTTGAGCCAAGTCTGCGGAGGACGGGGAGGATAACGACGCGTTTCAACAACGTCGTGCGCGTGTGCCTCTGGAACACATCGCTCCAACCGCACCTGTAAATTCCATTGATGTTGCTAGCGTTTACCCAGAAATACCGCCAGCCCACTGGGCGGAGGTGGCTGAAGGAGTCAGCTCTTCCAACGCTCTTACTACCCCTCCCCTGGGGTCTTACGATGCGCCCCCTCGCTGTCGGGATGATCAAGACAGCTCTAGATGGTTCCAAGATGGTCTGGGATAGCCCAGACAGCCTCCAAGATGGCACAATGTAGACTCCTAGACGCTTCCCAGAGGCTCCAAGACCGCCGCAAGACGTCTCGAGGCGGCCGCGGATCCTCCCAAGGATGCCTCCGAGGGACCAATATCTTTCATACATCAAAAATGGGTTCAATTCTTGTTACTGTCTCGCCCGCTCGCTTCCGACGGACGTCTGAGGAGCCCAGAAGGGCTCGGAGAGGGCCCCGAAGACGCCCAAGAGCGTCCAGAGAGCATCACAAGCGAGCCTCAAGGGGGCGATTTGTCGGGCTCCACAAGCAGGTACTGTAATCGTGGACACCGACGTTCTGCTTCAACATGGCCTCCAGCCTTGCTCCCAGAGGGCCCGGAAGGCCCCCGAGAGGCCCGCAAGAGAGCCCCAAGAAGGCTCAAGGCACGGTCCCAAGGGGGCTCCAAGATGGCTCCAGCCCGCGGATCGTTTCTGGATCGGCTGATGCGCGAAGCGCCATCCATTCCCACACGGGCTGCCCCGCCTGGAGGAGGTTGATCAGTCATCTTGCCTGCACTCGCGGCGGCCTGGTGCCTCTGCAGAGTGGGCACGGGCCTACAGACCTCTCTGGAGCCAGGGCCGGGGCGGTGGGCGCGCATCCTTCTGCACCCAGGCTGGCGCCAAGGGAGGGTGGCTGAACGCCGAGCGGTTCGGCGCTGAGGGGCCAGAAGTCTCGGGCCCGCTTCGGAGCGCTGATCCCAATGCCCAGACATGTCCAGTGGCGGCGGCCGTGGCGGGGCGGGCAACCGTGCAGGGGCTCGCGCGACAGTCGCCCGCGCGCGGCCTGCAGCGACCTACTCCGACCCACCGCTCGCACGTGCGCCCGGGGCCGTCGGGGAGGCCCGCGCCTTGTGCGCCTCCTTCACACACTCCAAGTCCTTCATGATCTGATCCGCTGTCGTCGTCCAGCCATGCTTCTTGCACGCCGCGCTCAGATAGATGTGCGTGTTGTCACAGGGAGGCAGCTTCGCCTGAAGCATGTCCTTGTACAGCTCCACGGCGTACTCGATGCGCTGGAGCTTGATGCACGCATTGATCACGTGGTGGTAAGCGAAACGATCGGGTTCCAGGTGCTGCTCGCGCATCGTATCGAAGATAGCCACAGCCTCCTTCGGGCGATTGCTGGAGTAGTAGACCTTGATCATGATGCCGAAGGTCTTACCATTGGGGACCAGCCCCGTGGAGGTCATCTGCATGAACAGCTCCCGGGCCTGGTCTAACATGCCATTCTGAGAGCAAGCACACAGCACCGCATTGTATGCCACTCGATCGAGCTTGATCCCCAACTCCTTCATCTCATCATAGAGCTTCAGCGTGAACTCCGGATTGGTCCGCTCGTTGGCGGCCATGATGCAGCGGTACGCCGTTGAGCTGAGCATGACACCCGCGTCCTTCATCTTCACGAAGTAGGCCAGGACGTCGTCTGGAGGCTTGCTCCTCCACGCAACGATCAGGCGGTTCTGGGCAAGAGTAGATGGTGAGACTCTGTGAGCTCGGACCACCTCGAGGAACTTCAGCCCCTCATCCCGCATGCGCTTGTCGTCGAGGCTTTCGGCGACGAGCCTGAAGAACTTGCTGGCGGTGCTTCTGCAAAGCAAGTGCACGTCGGGGACGGCCCCGCCCTGCAGCATCTGGTCGAACAGCTTCACGGCCGTCTCCGCGCTGTTGCACCTGACGCAGGCCCGCATCGCCGTCGTGACGTCGGAGGCCTTGGGCGCCACGCCCTCCTTCTGCACGCGGTCGAGGACGCGCATGTCGAACTTCCGCTGCGCCTCCTCGTCGTCGGCAGCGCCGTCTTTGCCAGTGCCTGGGACATCTCCGGCCTTGGTCGGGCGCCCGACGTCGGGTGCCCCACTCTCGAGCTGGATCCCCGCCTTCACGTTCTTTTGGCTCTTCGCCTTGGCGCTCGGGCGCACGGTCTGCGAGTTTGCCCCGAAGTGGCCGATGGAGTAGGCGAGAACCACCACCATGAGGAGGATGTCCATCTGAGGCTTGGCCTCGCCACCGCTGCCGGACGCGTAGACGAAGACCCCGGCCAGCGAGCAGAAAGCAAGGCAGAGCCCTACCGTCAGCAGCCTGTTGTCTGCGAGCCCCGTGGAGGAGATCTTCTGAGATCCGCCGCCGCGCTTCTCCGCGGCTGGCATGTGCCTGGCCCCTCGTTTCTATCGGGGGTTCCAAGCGTCCCCAGAACGCCCTATGACTCTCCGGAGGTGGCCCCCAGGCGGCCCAGGACTGCACAAAATGGTTCCCAAGACTAGCCCAGCGCGGCCCCCCGAGACTCCCCCTGAGCGCCCTCAAGAAACCACAAGACAGCCCCAGCACCGAAGAGGCCCCTGAGGCGACCCAAGGAGCCCCCCAAAGGCTCCCGAGAGGCCATGGTGAAGCCCCGAAGCGGCCACCAAAGAGGCACCACAACAACCATGCAGCGATACAGCCGCGCCACGCTGCAACACTGCTGCGCTGCTTCCCCCAGCACGGTGGAGTACATGCGCGGCAGCGCAGCTGGATAGCCACTGCGCCATCGCGAGGAAGCCTTTTCCCTGACTGTTTGTGGAAGAGTTTGAGGGGTTACGACAGGCACCCGGTGCCTACTCACGGGAAAGGTATCCCTGAACGCGGTGATGCGCGCTTGAGCCAAGTCTGCGGAGGACGGGGAGGACGGGGAGGATAACGACGCGTTTCAACAATGTCATACGCATGGGCCTCTGGAACACATCGCTCCAACCCCAACTGGAAATGCCGATGATGTTGCCAGCGTTTACCCAGGATTCTCACCAGCCCCCTGGGCACAGATGGCTCAAGAAACCAATGTTTCCAACGCCTTGCTTCCCGCTCTCATGGGGTCTGGACCGGGGATCCCCTCGCTGTCGGGGCGTTCAAGACGGCTCAAATCGGATTGGGCGAAAGGGGGGGATAGCAAGGGGGGATTTGAGAATCAGCTCCCGTAGCTGATTTGCCCAGCGCCTCCCAACGCCAGAGGCGGCCATGGGCCCCTCGGTGGGGCCGAAACCAGCTGCATGAAGCAGATTTCGTACCCCCCCCTTTCCCTATCCCCCCCTTTCGTCCAGCCCGATCCAAGAAACTTTCGGATAGCCCAAAACGGCCTCCAGGATGGCACAATATAGACTAAGCCGGACCAAGACCTCCTTCAAGATACTTCCCAGAGGCTCGAGGCGGCCACGCAGCCTCCCAAGTATGCCCCCGAGGAACCAAAGTCTTTCACAAACCAACAGCGTGTTCAATTCTTGTTACTGTCTCGCCCGCTCGCGTCTGGTGGACGTCTGAGGAGCCCAGAAGGGCTCCGAGAGGGCCCCGAAGACCCCCAAGAGCGTCCAGAGAGCATCACAAGCGAGCCTCAAGGGGGCGATTTGTCGGGCTCCACAAGCAGGCACTGTAATTGTGGACACCGATGTTTTGCCTCAACATGGCCTCCAGCCTTGCTCCAAGAGGGCCCGGAAGGCCCCCAAGAGGCCCGCAAGAGCCCCAAGAAGGCTCACGGCACGGTCCCAAGGGGGCTCCAAGATGGCTCGAGCCCGCGAATCGTTTCTGGATCGGCTGATGCTCGAAGCGCCATCCATTCCCACCAGGACTGCCCCGCCTGGAGGAGGTTGATCAGTCATCTTGCCTGCACTCGCGGCGGCCTGGTGCCTCTGCAGAGTGGGCACGGGCCTGCAGACCTCTCTGGAGCCAGGGCTGGGGCGGTGGGCGCGCATCCTTCTGCACCCAGGCTGGCGCCAGGGGAGGGCGGCGGAACGCCGAGCGGTTCGGCGCTGAGGGGCCAGAAGTCTCGGGCCCGCTTCGGAGCGCTGATCCCAATGCCCAGACATGTCCAGTGGCGGCGGCCGTGGCGGGGTGGGCAACCGTGCAGGGGCTCGCGCGACAGTCGCCCGCGCGCGGCCTGCAGCGCCCTACTCCGACCCACCGCTCGCACGTGCGCCCGGGGCCGTCGGGGAGGCCCGCGCCTTGTGCGCCTCCTTCACACACTCCAAGTCCTTCATGACCTGATCCGCTGTCGTCGTCCAGCCATGCTTCTTGCACGCCGCGCTCAGATAGATGTGCGTGTTGTCACAGGGAGGCAGCTTCGCCTGAAGCATGTCCTTGTACAGCTCCACGGCGTACTCGATGCGCTGGAGCTTGATGCACGCATTGATCACGTGGTGGTAAGCGAAACGATCGGGCTCCAGGTGCTGCTCGCGCATCGTATCGAAGATAGCCACCGCCTCCTTCGGGCGATTGCTGGAGTAGTAGACCTTGATCATGATGCCGAAGGTCTTACCATTGGGGACCAGCCCCGTGGAGGTCATCTGCATGAACAGCTCCCGGGCCTGGTCTAACATGCCATTTTGAGAGCAAGCACACAGCACCGCATTGTATGCCACCCGATCGAGCTTGATCCCCAGCTCCTTCATCTCATCATAGAGCTTCAGCGTGAACTCCGGATTGGTCCGCTCGTTGGCGGCCATGATGCAGCGGTACGCCGTTGAGCTGAGCATGACACCCGCGTCCTTCATCTTCACGAAGTAGGCCAGGACGTCGTCTGGAGGCTTGCTCCTCCACGCAACGATCAGGCGGTTCTGGGCAAGAGTAGATGGTGAGACTCTGTGAGCTCGGATCACCTCGAGGAACTTCAGCCCCTCATCCCGCATGCGCTTGTCGTCGAGGCTTTCGGCGACTAGCTTGAAGAACTTGCTGGCGGTGCTTCTGCAAAGCAAGTGCACGTCGGGGACGGCCCCGCTCTGCAGCATCTGGTCGAACAGCTTCAGGGCCGTCTCCGCGCTGTTGCACCTGACGCAGGCCCGCATCGCCGTCGTGACGTCGGAGGCCTTGGGCGCCACGCCCTCCTTCTGCACGCGGTCGAGGACGCGCATGTCGAACTTCCGCTGCGCCTCCTCGTCGTCGGCAGCGCCGTCTTTGCCAGTGCCTGGGACATCTCCGGCCTTGGTCGGGCGCCCGACGTCGGGTGCCCCGCTCTCGAGCTGGATCCCCGCCTTCACGTTCTTCTGACTCTTCGCCTTGGCGTTCGGGCGCACAGTCTGCGAGTTTGCCCCGAAGTGGCCGATGGAGTAGGCGAGAACCACCACCATGAGGAGGATGTCCATCTGAGGCTTGGCCTCGCCACCGCTGCCGGACGCGTAGACGAAGACCCCGGCCAGCGCGCAGAAAACAAGGCAGAGCCCTACCGTCAGCAGCCTGTTGTCTGCGAGCCCCGTGGAGGAGATCTTCTGAGATCCGCCACCGCGCTTTTCCGCGGCCTGGCATGTGCTGGGCCCATCGTTTTCTCTTTGAGCTTTGCCCCGAGACCCATTGACCTACAACATCTGTTCAATGAATGTGCCACCCTGCGGTGTGCCAAGTTACCTCTGGTAGGCACGCCCAAACGGTCGCCAGGCGTCCCAGACGGCGCCCCAGAGATTCAACACGAGGCCCCCCCGAAGATTCCAAGCGGCCCCAGAACGCCCTATGACTCTCCGGAGGTGGCCCCCAGGCGGCCCAGGACTGCACAAAATGGTTCCCAAGACTAGCCCAGCGCGGCCCCCAGACTCCTCCTGAGCGCCCTCAAGACACCCCAAGACAGCCCCAACACCGAAGAGGCCCCCAAGGCGACCCAAGGAGCCCCCCAAAGGCTCCCGAGAGGCCATGGTGAAGACCCGAAGCGGCCACCAAAGAGGCACCGCAACAACCATGCAGCGATACAGCCGCGCCACGCAGCAACACTGCTGCGCTGCTTCCCCCCAGCACGGTGGAGTACATGCGCGGCAGCGCAGCTGGATAGCCACTGCGCCATCGCGAGGAAGCCTTTTCCCTGACTGTTTGTGGAAGAGTTTGAGGGGTTACGACAGGCACCCGGTGCCTACTCACGGGAAAGGTATCCCTGAACGCGGTGATGCGCGCTTGAGCCAAGTCTGCGGAGGACGGGGAGGACGGGGAGGATAACGACGCGTTTCAACAATGTCATACGCATGGGCCTCTGGAACACATCGCTCCAACCCCAACTGGAAATGCCGATGATGTTGCCAGCGTTTACCCAGGATTCTCACCAGCCCCCTGGGCACAGATGGCTCAAGAAATCAATGTTTCCAACGCCTTGTTTCCCGCTCTCATGGGGTCTGAACAGGGGATCCCCTCGCTGTCGGGGCGTTCAAGACGGCTCAGATCGGATTGGGCGAAAGGGGGGGATAGCAAGGGGGGATTTGAGAATCAGCTCCCGTAGCTGATTTGCCCAGCGCCTCCCGGCGCCAGAGGCGGCCATGGGCCCCTCGGTGGGGCCGAAACCAGCTGCATGAAGCAGATTTCGTAACCCCCCCTTTCCCTATTCCCCCCTTTCGTCCAGCCCGATCCAAGAAACTTTCGGATAGCCCAAGACGGCCTCCAGGATGGCACGATATAGACTAAGCCGGACCAAGACCTCCTTCAAGATACTTCCCAGAGGCTCGAGGCGGCCACGCAGCCCCCCAAGGATGCCCCCGAGGAACCAAAGCCTTTCACAAACCAACAGCGTGTTCAATTCTTGTTACTGTCTCCCCTGCTCGCTCCCACTGGACGTCTGAGGAGCCCAGAAGGGATCCAAGAGGGCCCCAAAGACCCCCAAGAGCGTCCAGAGAGCATCACAAGCGAGCTTCAAGGGGGCGATTTCTCGGGCTCCACAAGCAGGCACTGTAATTGTGGACACCGATGTTTTGCCTCAACATGGCCTCCAGCCTTGCTCCAAGAGGGCCCAGAACGCCCCCGAGAGGCCCGCAGAGAGCCCCAAGAAGGCTCACGGCACGGTCCCGAGGGGGCTCCAAGATGGCTCCAGCCCGCGGATCGTTTCTGGATCGGCTAATGCGCGAAGCGCCATCCATTCCAACACGGGCTGCCCCGCCTGGAGGAGGTTGATCAGTCATCTTGCCTGCACTCGCGGCGGCCTGGTGCCTCTGCAGAGTGGGCACGGGCCTACAGACCTCTCTGGAGCCAGGGCCGGGGCGGTGGGTGCGCATCCTTCTGGACCCAGGCTGGCGCCAGGGGAGGGCGGCGGAACGCCGAGCGGTTCGGCGCTGAGGGGCCACAAGTCTCGGGCCCGCTTCGGAACGCTGATCCCAATGCCCAGACATGTCCAGTGGCGGCGGCCGTGGCGGGGTGGGCAACCGTGCAGGGGCTCGCGCGACAGTCGCCCGCGCGCAGCCTGCAGCGCCCTACTCCGACCCACCGCTCGCACGTGCGCCCGGGGCCGTCGGGGAGGCCCGCGCCTTGTGCGCCTCCTTCACACACTCCAAGTCCTTCATGACCTGATCCGCTGTCGTCGTCCAGCCATGCTTCTTGCACGCCGCGCTCAGATAGATGTGCGTGTTGTCACAGGGAGGCAGCTTAGCCTGAAGCATGTCCTTGTACAGCTCCACGGCGTACTCGATGCGCTGGAGCTTGATGCACGCATTGATCACGTGGTGGTAAGCGAAACGATCGGGCTCCAGGTGCTGCTCGCGCATCGTATCGAAGATAGCCACCGCCTCCTTCGGGCGATTGCTGGAGTAGTAGACCTTGATCATGATGCCGAAGGTCTTACCATTGGGGACCAGCCCCGTGGAGGTCATCTGCATGAACAGCTCCCGGGCCTGGTCTAACATGCCATTTTGAGAGCAAGCACACAGCACCGCATTGTATGCCACCCGATCGAGCTTGATCCCCAACTCCTTCATCTCATCATAGAGCTTCAGCGTGAACTCCGGATTGGTCCGCTCGTTGGCGGCCATGATGCAGCGGTACGCCGTTGAGCTGAGCATGACACCCGCGTCCTTCATCTTCACGAAGTAGGCCAGGACGTCGTCTGGAGGCTTGCTCCTCCACGCAACGATCAGGCGGTTCTGGGCAAGAGTAGATGGTGAGACTCTGTGAGCTCGGATCACCTCGAGGAACTTCAGCCCCTCATCCCGCATGCGCTTGTCGTCGAGGCTTTCGGCGACGAGCTTGAAGAACTTGCTGACGGTGCTTCTGCAAAGCAAGTGCACGTCGGGGACGGCCCCGCCCTGCAGCATCTGGTCGAACAGCTTCAGGGCCGTCTCCGCGCTGTTGCACCTGACGCAGGCCCGCATCGCCGTCGTGACATCGGAGGCCTTGGGCGCCACGCCCTCCTTCTGCACGTGGTCGAGGACGCGCATGTCGAACTTCCGCTGCGCCTCCTCGTCGTCGGCAGCGCCGTCTTTGCCAGTGCCTGGGACATCTCCGGCCTTGGTCGGGCGCCCGACGTCGGGTGCCCCACTCTCGAGCTGGATCCCCGACATCACGTTCTTCTGGCTCTTCGCCTTGGCGTTCGGGCGCACGGTCTGCGAGTTTGCCCCGAAGTGGCCGATGGAGTAGGCGAGAACCACCACCATGAGGAGGATGTCCATCTGAGGCTTGGCCTCGCCACCCCACCGCTGCTGGACGCGTAGACGAAGACCCCAGCCAGCGCGCAGAAAGCAAGGCAGAGCCCTACCGTCAGCAGCCTGTTGTCTGCGAGCCCCGTGGAGGAGATCTTCTGAGATCCGCCGCCGCGCTTCTCCGCGGCTGGCATGTGCCTGGCCCCTCGTTTCTCTTTGAGCTTTGCTCCGAGACCCATTGGCCTACAACATCTGTTCAATGAGTGTGCCACCCTGCGGTGCGCCAAGTTACCTCTGGTAGGTACGCCCAAACGGTCGCCAGGCGTCCCAGACGGCGCCCCTGAGGTTCAACAAGAGGCCCCCCCGAAGATTCCAAGCGGCCCCAGAACGCCCTATGACTCTCCGGAGGTGGCCCCCAGGCGGCCCAGGACTGCACAAAATGGTTCCCAAGACTAGCCCAGCGCGGCCCCGAGACTCCCCCTGAGCGCCCTCAAGACACCCCAAGACAGCCCCAGCACCGAAGAGGCCCCCAAGACGACCCAAGGAGCCCCCCAAAGGCTCCCGAGAGGCCATGGTGAAGCCCCGAAGCGGCCACCAAAGAGGCACCGCAACAACCATGCAGCGATACAGCCGCGCCACGCAGCAACACTGCTGCGCTGCTTCCCCCAGCGCGGTGGAGGACATGCGCGGCAGCGCAACTGGATAGCCACTGCGCCATCGCGAGGAATCCTTGTCCCTGACTGTTTGTGGAAGAGTTTGGGGGGTTACGACAGGCACCCGGTGCCTACTCACGGGAAAGGTATCCCTGAACGCGGTGATGCGCGCTTGAGCCAAGTCTGCGGAGGACGGGGAGGACGGGGAGGATAACGACGCGTTTCAACAATGTCATACGCATGGGCCTCTGGAACACATCGCTCCAACCCCAATTGGAAATGCCCATGATGTTGCCAGCGTTTACCCAGGATTCTCACCAGCCCCCTGGGCACAGATGGCTCAAGAAATCAATGTTTCCAACGCCTTGCTTCCCGCTCTCATGGGGTCTGGACCGGGGATCCCCTCGCTGTCGGGGCGTTCAAGACGGCTCAGATCGGATTGGGCGAAAGGGGGGGATAGCAAGGGGGGATTTGAGAATCAGCTCCCGCAGCTGATTTGCCCAGCGCCTCCCGGCGCCAGAGGCGGCCATGGGCCCCTCGGTGGGGCCGAAACCAGCTGCATGAAGCAGATTTCGCAACCCCCCCTTTCCCTATTCCCCCCTTTCGTCCGGCCCGATCCAAGAAAGTTTCGGATAGCCCAAGACGGCCTCCAGGATGGCACGATATAGACTAAGCCGGACCAAGACCTCCTTCAAGATACTTCCCAGAGGCTCGAGGCGGCCACGCAGCCTCCCAAGGATGCCCCCGAGGAACCAAAGTCTTTCACAAACCAACAGCGTGTTCAATTCTTGTTACTGTCTCGCCTGCTCGCTCCCACTGGACGTCTGAGGAGCCCAGAAGGGCTCCTAGAGGGCCCCGAAAAAAAAAGAGCGTCCAGAGAGCATCACAAGCGAGCTTCAAGGGGGCGATTTCTCGGGCTCCACAAGCAGGTACTGTAATTGTGGACACCGACGTTTTGCCTCAACATGGCCTCCAGTCTTGCTCCCAGAGGGCCCAGAACGCCCCCGAGAGGCCCGCAAGAGAGCCCCAAGAAGGCTCAAGGCACGGTCCCAAGGGGGCTCCAAGATGGCTCCAGCCCGCGGATCGCTTCTGGATCGGCTAATGCGCGAAGCGCCATCCATTCCCACACGGGCTACCCCGCCTGGAGGAGGTTGATCAGTCATCTTGCCTGCACTCGCGGCGGCCTGGTGCCTCTGCAGAGTGGGCACGGGCCTACCGACCTCTCTGGAGCCAGGGCCGGGGCGGTGGTTGCGCATCCTTCCGGACCCAGGCTGGCGCCAGGGGAGGGCGGCGGAACGCCGAGCCGTTCAGCGCTGAGGGGCCAGAAGTCTCGGGCCGCTTCGGAGCGCTGATCCAAATGCCCAGACATGTCCAGTGGCGGCGGCCGTGGCGGGGCGGGCAGCCGTGCAGGGGCTCGCGCGACAGTCGATGCGCGCGGCCTGCAACGCCCTATTCCGACCCACCGCTCGCACGTGTGCCCGGGGCCGTCGGGGAGGCCCGCGCGTTGTGCGCCTCCTTCACACACTCCAAGTCCTTCATGATCTGATCCGCTGTCGTCGTCCAGCCATGCTTCTTGCACGCCGCGCTCAGATAGATGTGCGTGTTGTCACATGGAGGCAGCTTCGCCTGAAGCATGTCCTTGTACAGCTCCACGGCGTACTCGATGCGCTGGAGCTTGATGCACGCATTGATCACGTGGTGGTAAGCGAAACGATCGGGTTCCAGGTGCTGCTCGCGCATCGTATCGAAGATAGCCACCGCCTCCTTCGGGCGATTGCTGGAGTAGTAGACCTTGATCATGATGCCGAAGGTCTTACCATTGGGGACCAGCCCCGTGGAGGTCATCTGCATGAACAGCTCCCGGGCCTGGTCAAACATGGCATTCTGAGAGCAGGCACACAGCACCGCATTGTATGCCACCCGATCGAGCTTGATCCCCAACTCCTTCATCTCATCATAGAGCTTCAGCGTGAACTCCGGATTGGTCCGCTCGTTGGCGGCCATGATGCAGCGGTACGCCGTTGAGCTGAGCATGACACCCGCGTCCTTCATCTTCACGAAGTAGGCCAGGACGTCGTCTGGAGGCTTGCTCCTCCACGCAACGATCAGGCGGTTCTGGGCAAGAGTAGATGGTGAGACTCTGTGAGCTCGGATCACCTCGAGGAACTTCAGCCCCTCATCCCGCATGCGCTTGTCGTCGAGGCTTTCGGCGACGAGCCTGAAGAACTTGCTGGCGGTGCTTCTGCAAAGCAAGTGCACGTCGGGGACGGCCCCGCCCTGCAGCATCTGGTCGAACAGCTTCACGGCCGTCTCCGCGCTGTTGCACCTGACGCAGGCCCGCATCGCCGTCGTGACGTCGGAGGCCTTGGGCGCCACGCCCTCCTTCTGCACGCGGTCGAGGACGCGCATGTCGAACTTCCGCTGCGCCTCCTCGTCGTCGGCAGCGCCGTCTTTGCCAGTGCCTGGGACATCTCCGGCCTTGGTCGGGCGCCCGACGTCGGGTGCCCCACTCTCGAGCTGGATCCCCGCCTTCACGTTCTTCTGGCTCTTCGCCTTGGCGCTCGGGCGCACGGTCTGCGAGTTTGCCCCGAAGTGGCCGATGGAGTAGGCGAGAACCACCACCATGAGGAGGATGTCCATCTGAGGCTTGGCCTCGCCACCGCTGCCGGACGCGTAGACGAAGACCCCGGCCAGCGCGCAGAAAGCAAGGCAGAGCCCTACCGTCAGCAGCCTGTTGTCTGCGGGCCCCGTGGAGGAGATCTGCTGAGATCCGCCGCCGCGCTTTTCCGCGGCCTGGCATGTGCTGGACCCATCGTTTCTCTTTGAGCTTTGCTCCGAGACCCATTGACCTACAACATCTGTTCAATGAATGTGCCACCCTGCGGTGCGCCAAGTTACCTCTGGCAGGCACGCCCAAACGGTCGCCAGGCGTCCCAGACGGCGCCCCAGAGGTTCAACAAGAGGCCCCCCCGAAGATTCCAAGCGGCCCCAGAACGCCCTATGACTCTCCGGAGGTGGCCCCCAGGCGGCCCAGGACTGCACAAAATGGTTCCCAAGACTAGCCCAGCGCGGCCCCGAGACTCCCCCTGAGCGCCCTCAAGACACCCCAAGACAGCCCCAGCACCGAAGAGGCCCCCAAGACGACCCAAGGAGCCCCCCAAAGGCTCCCGAGAGGCCATGGTGAAGCCCCGAAGCGGCCACCAAAGAGGCACCGCAACAACCATGCAGCGATCCAGCCGCGCCACGCAGCAACACTGCTGCGCTGCTTCCCCCAGCGCGGTGGAGGACATGCGCGGCAGCGCAACTGGATAGCCACTGCGCCATCGCGAGGAAGCCTTTTCCCTGACTGTTTGTGGAAGAGTTTGGGGGGTTACGACAGGCACCCGGTGCCTACTCACGGGAAAGGTATCCCTGAACGCGGTGATGCGCGCTTGAGCCAAGTCTGCGGAGGACAAGGAGCACAGCGGCACGATTCAACAACCTCGTGCGCATGGGCTTCTGGAGCAGATCGCTCCAACCGCAACCGAAGTGCCGTCGGTTGTGCGAACGTTTACCAGGAAATCCCACCAGCCATCTGGGCGTAGGTGGCTCTAGGAGTCTGCACTTCCAGCCCCTTCCCCATCCCAACGGGGTCTGGACCGTGGTTCCCTCGCGGTCTAGGTGTCCAAGATGGCCCTGGATGGTTCCAAAACGCCACCGAGCCTGCTGGCACGCTGAGGCCTGAAAGAATGCCAATTTCTGTCTGGCAGGTTTCTGTAGTCTTCTAGGGACCCCCCCCGCGGGACGCACACCGCCAACTGCACTGCCCCGGCTCCCGCGGAGTCCCTGGGCGGCCATGGCACCTCCCCGGGGCTCTCCAAGGCTTTCATGACGGCCCAGGAGGCCCCCAAGACGGTCCAAGAGGGCCCCGAGTCGCCGAACGATCGCTCGAAGACGCCCAAGATGACCTCAAGATGGCCCAAGAGGCCTCCAAGACGCCCCAAGAGGCCTCCAAGAGGCCTCCCAAGAGGGCCTCAAGAGGCAACAATCATTGATGATCCTGAAGATTTTTAAGGACTATGGTGTTCTCGCCTTTCCCGCTTTCCGACGCTCCATGACGGCCCAAGAGGCCCCCAAGACCACCCCAAGACGGCACACGAGGCCTCTAAGAGGGCCCCAAGACGGTCTAAGAGCGCCCCAAGACGGCCCGAGAGGCGCCGAAAACGGCACAAGAGGGCCCCAACACGGCTCCAAAAGGAGCCCAAGAGAGGGAACACGAACCGAACATCCTAGCCTTCCGCCCAAAGGGGCCACCAGGAGGCCCCAAGAGGCCCAAAAGAGGCCCCAAGATGCCCCCAAGATGCCCCCAAGAGGCCCCCAAGAGGCCCCCAAGAGGCCCCCAAGAGGCCCCAAGAGGCCCCCAAGAGGTGTAAAAGAGGCCCCAAGAGGCCCGAAAACGGCCTCCAAGCGGCTTCAAAACTGACGCCACGAGGCCACCGAGAGGCCTTCCACGAGATCCCAACGAACATCCAAGAGGCTTCGCAGCCACAACCCAGGCACGGTGGCGGGACTTGCAATAGGCAGCTGGATATGGTCCCAGATAGCGCAAGACGGCCTCCAAGCCAGCACAAGGTAGACCAAGTTGGAACTCGACCGCCTCCAAAACGCTTCCGCGAGGCTCCAAGACCGCCACAAGACGTCTCGAGGTGGCCACAGAGCATCCCCCCGAGGAACCAACATCCTTCAAACACAAAGGTTTGTTCAAGTGTTTTGCTGAGGGGCGCCTGAGGGGCCCGGAAGGGCTCCAAGAGGGCCCCGAAGACCCTCAAGAGCGTCCCGAGAGTGCCCCAAGAAGGCCTCAAAGGGCGCGTCCCCAGCGCCAAAGGCAGGTGATGTAAGTGTGGACGCCGATGTGTTACTTCAACATGGCCTCTCGTATTCCTCGAAGAGGGCCCGAAAGGCCTCCAGAGGAGTCATACGCCCCCCCCTACGAGAGCCCCAAGAGGGCCTCAAAGGCTCACGAAACGGCTACAAGAGTGCTCCAAGATGGCCACAGCCAACGACTCGTTTCTGGATCGGCTAATGCGCGAAGCGTCGACAATTTCCACACAGGCTACCCGGCCTGGAGGTAGATCACTGTTTTTGCGATCGCTCGCGGTGGCCTGGTGCCACTGCAGAGTGAACAGGGCCTGCAGATCTCTCTGGAGTCAGGGCTGGGGCGGTGGAAACTTGCCATTCCGCACCCGTGCTGGCGCCAGGGGAGTGCGGCGGAACGCCGAGCGGTTCGGCGCTCAGGGGTACGAAGTCTCGGGCCCGCTTCGGAGCGCCGATCCAAATGACCAGAAATCTCCAGCGGCGGCGGCCGCGGCGGGGCGGGCAACCGTGCAGGGGCTCGTGCGACAGTCGCCTACGCGCGGCCCGCAGCGCCCTACTCCGACCCACCGCGCGCCCGTGCGCCGGGGGCCTTCAGGGGGGCCCGCGCTTGTGCGCCTCCTTCACACACTCCAAGTCCTTCATGATCTGATCCGCTGTCGTCGTCCAGCCATGCTTCTTGCACGCCGCGCTCAGATAAATGTGCGTGTTGTCGCAGGGAGGCAGCTTCGCCCGAAGCATGTCCTTGTACAGCTCCATGGCGTACTCGAGGCGATGGAGCTTGATGCACGCGTTGATCACGTGGTGGTAAGCGAAACGATCGGGTGCCAGGCCCTGCTCGCGCATCGTATCGAAGATAGCCACCGCCTCCTTCGGGCGATTGCTGGAGTAGTAGACCTTTATCATGATGCCGAAGGTTTTATCATTGGGTACCAGCCCCGTGGAGGTCATCTGCATGAACAGCTCCCGGGCCTGGTCTAACATGCCGTTCTGAGAGCAAGCACACAGCACCGCATTGTATGCCACCCGGTCGAGCTTGATCCCTAAACCCTTCATCTCATCATAGAGCTTCAGCGTGAACTCCGGATTGGTCCGCTCGTTGGCGGCCATGATGCAGCGGTACGCCGTCGAGCTGAGCATGACACCCGCGTCCTTCATCTCCACGAAGTAGGCCAGGACGTCAACTGGAGGCTTGCTCCTCCACGCAACGATCAGGCGGTTCTGGGCAAGAGTAGACGGTGAGACTCTGTGAGCTCGGATAACATCTAGAAGCTTCAGCCCTTCTTCCCGCATGCGCTTGTCGTCGAGGCTTTCGGCGACGAGCTTGAAGAACTTGCTGGCGGTGCTTCTGCAAAGCAGGTGCACGTCGGGGACGGCCCCGCCCTGCAGCATCTGGTCGAACAGCTTCAGAGCCGTCTCCGCGCTGTTGCACCTGACGCAGGCCCGCATCGCCGTCGTGACGTCGGAGGCCTTGGGCGCCACGCCCTCCTTGGGGAAACCAAACGGTACCAATACCGCTACTCCTCCCCGGGTGCGTTCTGACCGGAACTTCGAGGCGAATCCAGCGGTGGCGAAGAAGGCATCCCAGGAGGCTCAGAAAAGGGAACACGAGGGAAGGGTAGCGGCATGGGTACCTTTTCCTCCCCTGACTCCTTCTGCACACGGTCCAGGACGCGCAGATCGAACTTCCGCTGCGCCTCCTCGTCTTCGGCCGAACTGTCTCGGCCAGTCGCCGGGAGCTCCGCTGCCTTGGCCTGGCGCTCGCCGGCGGGTGCCCCGCTCTCGAGCTGGATGCCCGCCTTCGCGCTCTTCTGGCTCTTCGCCTTGGCATTCGGGCGCGCGGCCTGCGAGCTTGCCCCGAAGTGGCCGATGGAGTAGGCGAGAACCACCACCATGAGGAGGATGTCCATCTGAGGCTTAGCCTCGCCACCGCTGCCGGACGCGTAGACGAAGACCCCGGCCAGCGCGCAGAAAGCAAGGCAGAGCCCTACCGTCAGCAGCCTGTTGTCTGCGAGCCCCGTGGAGGAGATCGTCTGAGATCCGCCGCCGCGCTCTTCTGCGGCCGGTGTGTGGCGGGCCCCCTTGACCTTCCCAAGCAGCTTGCTGAACAGGGTACACGTCGTTCATTTCTAATCGTGCTCATTTCTAATTGTGCTCGTTCCTAATTGTTCCTGGCCCCCCAGTGGCCAGGAAGAGGCCCAGGATAGAACGAATAGAAATCTAAGGATCTTGGCCCCCAAAAAAATCAGAGAACCCTCGAAGAATTAGAAATGAGCAGTGCGTACTGCTGTGGTGGAAACCGGTTCTGGCCGAGGCACGGCCCGGCAGAGACGCCCTCCAAACAGCCTGGTGGTCCCGGCCGTTTCGCCCGAGGCGTCCCGACAACTCTCGCTCCTGAGCTGGCTGGGGTTGATCGCTTCGCCTCTGAGGCAGCCTCCCACTGCTGAGCTCCGCCACGCCGCGCGCGAGGTGGTCTGGCGTGTTTCGCCCGAGACATCCTCCCAATGCTGAGCTCCGACACGCCGCGCGCGAGGTGGTCCGACGCGCTTCGCCCGAGGCGTCCTCACGACTCTGCGCTCCGAGCTGCCGCGCACGAAGGAGGAAAAGGAGAAGGAGGAGGAGGAGGAGGAGGAGGAGGAGGAGGAGGAGGAGGGGGAGGGGAAGGAGGGAGGAGGAAGAAAAAGAGGAGGAGGAGGAAGAAAAAGAGGAGGAGGAGGAGGAGGAGGAGGAGGACAATGGCGAGCTTGGGGGCCTCTTGGGCCGTCTTTGGGGCCTCTTGGCGGTCCCGGGGGTGTGCACGTCGCTGGAGTCATCCGTGCCACTCTGCACCCCGAGCTGCCGCGCGAGAGGTGAGTCCAGCACGTTTCGCTAGAGACATCCTTGCAGCCCTGAGCTCCGAGACGTGGAGCGACCGGTGGTCCAGCTCGCTTCGCCCGAAACGTCCTCGCAGCTCTGAGCTCCGAGGAGAGCTGCGCAGGAGTCCGTGGCCCGTTCTGCTCGTGACATCGTCGCAACGCGGGGCTCCGAGATGCTGCGGGCGAGGTGCCCGTGGTCTGGCCCGTTTCGCCTGGGGCCATCCTCGAAACTCTGGGCTCTAAGAGGGAGGAGAAAGGAAGGAGGAGGAAGCAGACCCAAACGAACCATTTGATTACACGTACGTTGTCGAATTATTGTGCTCTGGAAGGGGTCTGGGCGCCGCCTGTGACATCCTCACAACTCTGAGCCCGCGGATGTCGCACGCGAGGTGGTTCAGCCCGTTTCGCCTGAGACATCCTCACAATTCGGGGCTCCCAGATGGTGCGCGCGAGCCCTTTTCGCCTGAGACATCCTTCCAGCTCCGCGCTCCTTGAAAATG